TTGTATTAATGTCATTGAATCTCATTTTTTATTATTATAAAATAGGGTATTTTTGCACGCTTTCGAGTTCGTAATAGATTGACTATTACACAGAACCGATGATAGCTTGATAAAATGTATTTTCTCCAAAAGAAATACTTTACAATTCTCGAACTTTTGACAAAAATACTCGCACAGCTCCTCACAGTATCACAGAGTACAATCAGAAGTTACACTTCAAACAACTAAGAACGTTAAACACACCGCATTTCAAAGCGGATCTAAAGAGCGAAGCACACACTAAGATCTCTCAGTGTTCCGAACTTAAGCTAAGCTATACCCTTTCCCCGTCTTATATAGTTTTCCGTTGGCCGCGTAGAAATTTCTGCTGCCTTTTACGTCTCGAAATTACCGGAAGGCACGTGAGGGCCAGATATAGTTACAATTACATAGAGGATAAATTAGTTATTCAATTACAATTCACATTATAGTTATAAAAGAATCGAACAAATATATCGCTTAATGGTTGCCAAGTTTGGTGACTTTCGCGATTTCTTGCCAAATACAGGGACAAAAATTAGTCGCCAAAACCATCGCTATCTTAGCGTTATCTCGACAATTTAACGAGATAGCCATTTACTCAACGTTAAATACTGTGGTGTTAATGCTTCAACGGTGTGGTGTTGAACTCCAATGAAAACTCTAATGATGGAACACCGCATGAAAATTTTATTGAACGCCCAAAATAAAAGGCTACGTACAATCAACAAGAGAAAAACCAATATCTTCCTTTTTTTTCAAACAAATTCAAATATCCCTACATTTTAAGTGCGAGAGGCTCTCGGGCCTGCGTTTGAAACAATGTCAGCATATTAATATTATTTTTAAAACTATTAATTCAAATTAACACTTATTGAAAACGTATTCGGAACTTAAATAATAATAATATTCATCTTATGCTCTGGAGACATCCTTGTTCATATTAATCTTCAGTTTCTTCTTCCTTTATGCGGCCTTCTCACTTGCCCCTGTATTCTCACTTTTCCGACAAAGTTTCGCGCTTCTTCGGATTTGCATGTTACATTACACAAAACAAATACTACACTTTCACATATCATTTAACTAAAATTATTTATATGCGTACAAAATTCTTAACAATATTTTATCGTTTTTCATATTAACAAGAGAATAACTTTATAATTAATTTAATAAACGGTTTAATTTCATTCGCTGACACAAAAATCCTGATTGTCAAGTACCATGAGTTTTCTAATTTCTTACGTGTCAGATCTACTTAAAAAATTAAATTGGCACTGAGTATCCTTAGGACAGTAAGCCCCAGTTTACTGATTCTCGCACTGTGATACTAAGTTGAATTTTGTTGCTCCTAAGCCTCATGTTGTTATCGTCGTCTATTTCGTAATACTCGTACAAGTTATATAAAAACCTGCGTTTTTCAAAGGGAAATTCTCGCTCATTGTAACTTGTTCGTTCCGTCTAATGCTTCCGTATACTACCGTGACCTTCGGGAAACGAAACGCACGTCAGTGGCGAAACGTCGCGCAAACTAAGATACAATACACTCACAGAGGGTTGTAATAGCAAAGCGTTTTCATCTCTTGTTCCGTAGTCTATTCGGATGAGTGTCACATTCGTTTAAACTTTATTACGAAATTTTCATCATTAAACAATTTAACAATGTTAATGGAAATAACGATTAGTGTTTTCCAATACCTAGAATACAGGAGAATTGAATAACCTGAAAGACCACCCACCGTATAAAATCAACTCCATATTTTTTAACAATTTTTTTTCCCTTTCCTTGACTTGCTTGTTTATGTGTGGCGTGTAAGTACATGTAAGGAATCTGTTTAATATGTAAAATGTCTCATAATTTGATCTTTCTCTAAATATGATTACACATACGAATTAGAAGATAAAAGTTTGCCCTATAAAATCTATTTACTTCAAATTTAAATTTAATAAATTATAGAAAAAATTACATTTCACAGCAAAATATAGAAATGAAGTAATTTTTGTGTAAAAAAAATTCAATATGCCTTTTTTAGGTAAAAAATGTCAATATATTAAATTTGTTGCTGTTGTTGTTTCTTATGGCTTTATTCAGACATCAATCTATTTACGTCGGGCCACTCGTCTAAAACAAAACATTAAATTTAAAATTACATCACCAGAATGTTAAAAGCGCTTAAAATTACAGCACTGAAATTCAAGTCTTTGCAATAATAAAATTTAAAACATAAAAATGTCACAATTAAAATCTTAAAAATCTTCAGTGATTAGAGGCGAAGCAACGTTGTGCTCAGGACATAAGATCCCTGGCCATCCAGTTCAATGGGAGTACATCCCCACTATATTGTAACTTAGGATCAAGGTCCGGCCATACGAATAAGTACTGTTTATTGGTAGTGTCTGTTTTATAAATAGGGCATTGGCTATTAGTCAATGAATGTTACGTTGAGAGGTTCGGTTAAGCAGTCCCTCTGTAACTGTCCTGCGACCGAACTCATTCCAGTCATTCCTGGTATTCTCCCTTCTATTTAATTGATAAATTCTGTTCAATAAATAACCCTCTTTGCCGAGAGATCTGCATTTTCATTGCCATTTCATTCATCAGTATGCCATTTCATTCATCAGTATGATATGGTATCCACTGAAATTCTACATTTTTAAGGTTCCTATTTAATTCCCTGATATCTCGTTTTATTTTTGACACAAGAGGAGACTCAGAATGATGTTGAAGAGTTTTCGCCTCTAATGCCGACTTAGAATTAACAAAAATGGCGCCCTTTGTAAAAATCTCAGTTCTAGATTTCAAATTAAACATAGCCAAAAAGACCGCATGAACTTCTGCATCAAAGTTTGAAAAGTGTTGACCCACTGGGGCATACCGTGGAAACAGTTTACAATATACCATCACCATTATTCATTCTAAAGCCATCTGTAAATGCACTTATCCATTCTGGTTCAGGATAAGGGTTATTGTCCAACAGTGGCGTTTGTTTGTAGAATGCTATCTACTGTGTCTTTCTTTCTATTTTCATCCCGTTTAAAGTATTGCATTATGACTGCATATGTTAAAGTACTGCATTTTGATTTGCAGTGCTTAAGGTGAAAGCTTATTTTTATAAACAGAAATACAAACACTTTTTTACATTTAAAAAATTATCGTCTCTAAAATGTAATGCGCTTATAATTAAAGTAAAATACAATTCCGCTGAAATATTTCTGTCCTTTGAGTATCATATGTGATTAAGAACTGCATTCTTTCTGTTAAGGGTTTTCTCAGCGTACACGCAATTATTATAATAAGTTCATTTAGTTTAGCTGATTACGGCGAAGCCCACGAGGGCCATCTGCCTAAAGGTATTTTTCGTGCGTACACACTTTACACGTGGGAAAAAGCCCATTACAATCAGCCCAGTTGCCGGGATTAAAACCTTTGACTAAACTAGCAGTGTTCAGCGAATTTACCGCTCGGCCGCTGATGGGCCTATTTATAATAAGAAAAAGGAATGGTGGGTATAGTTTTGTAGACCTTTTTTTCATTAAATATGCGAGATCTTCAGGGGGTGATTGAAATAGTTAATTAATATTTAAGTTTTCTGTTTATTCGAATAATAATATTCTTTATTCCAAACAATCAATGATAAAATTCATTACTTGTCTTATCAAAACACTTATCAAATTATGAGCAAAATTTATCAGTGCTTTGCATTTTCAGTTTGTTTGTTTAACAGCTTATGGCAAAGCACTATTTTCATAAATTAAGGATGCCTTAGTGGGAGACATTTTAAGGGGAGTTGGCTTTCATTCATGTTACACATGGAGAAAACTCTTATGCAGCCAGCTAATTCGAGAGCTTTCGCATTTTCTGAAATGATGAAAATTTTAATAAACTGAAATGCAGTTTTGAAAACATTACTTTTGCAAAATATTCAAAAAGATAAGTCGATCCTTTTTCTCTTAGAAACATGTTTTTATTAACTTTACTACTCAGTCTTTTGACTTTCTTTCTCATTTTATTGGTGTGATTTGCATAATTAATTAAACAATTTTTTGTGTATGCTCATTCATATATAATTTCCTTTTCCCGAAATAAATTAATTCGAATCAATCTTCCGAAGTTTAGTTTTAGAAATCTTTTTTTAACTATTTTCAGTGTAAAAGGACACCAAACCCACTAGCTCAGGCTGTCTAATCACGCGAGCAAAACGTGGCTAGCAAAGGATAAAGGCAATTTGGATAAATCTAAGAGATGGGTGAACTTGATCGGAGAAGTTCAACAATCGCTGTCATAAATTCTACTATAATTTCAAGAGTTATGCTCTTATATACTTTAGCTAATTTGCATCCTGGTAGCAGCCGGCGAAAGTAGGAATGGCAGTAAAGATAAATATGATAAGCTAACAGGTTAATAAAAATAAAAACTTAAAAGTGCCTTATTCAACAGAAAATTACGTGAATTGCTGTTACTTACCTCAGTGAACTACGTTAATTACGCCTTTTCTACTTTCAGAGCTGATAGTAGCGTAAATTATCTGGACACAGTTTAAAAACCAAAATAGTTACAGAATTGGATCAACAAGATCTTAGAAGATCACAATTCACTGGAAACTGTCTGCATTTTAATAGAAAAATCATAACAATCAAGACTTTACTATCGAAAGTAGAAATGACAATAAATATAATAAGGAAATTTGTTAATGCGTTTAAAAACCTTACAAAATTGTATTTAACAATAAATTACGTGAATTGCTATTACTTACCTCAGTATTCTTTCCTATTCCGCTTTCAAACATCTTCAAAGCGGAAAGCAAAGTTATTACAGAATTAGACCAATAAGATCTTAGAAGATCACCATTCAATTGAAAAATTATTTTTATTTTAACAGAAAAGTCATGAGAGTTGCATTATTTACAAAATTCAAATCTTTAATAATATATACAAAAAATTTTTAAAAAAATGAAAAGATGATTAAAAAAACACAAATAACATCATAGCAATACTAATATTCATTTTGAAATGAAAATAAATAAAAATACATGCTTCTATTCGTACGTAAATGAAATTAACTATGATGGAGATTGTGCATAAATTATGGCATTATAACGAAAGAGGAAATATCTTTGGTGTCAGAAGGATCACGAGGCCTCAGTTTTGATACCTTTAATCAAATGTGTATTACTATAGTATCTATAGATGTTTTTTGTTTGTCACTATCTACAATCTTATCCAGATCCTTTTCGATAGAGTTAGCATAATAGCAATAAGATTGAAAAGTCGGATTTAAAGCAGGTTCTGAGTTTTTCCATTTTCCAAAGAGACGTGACATTAAATGATTTTTCACTTTCTTCGTGCAGGTGAAAGCCAGGAATATGAACAGTCCTTGAAAGACGTTCAGTGCAACGCAAACATACCATAGCCATATAACGTTGACCATAATAGCCAAAAATTTAGCGAACCAAGTGATGCCCATAATAACGGCTAGTCTAAAGTACAACAAAGCTTGCTTTTTTAGAAGCATGTTATTGCTACTTTCATCGCTTTTCATTCTGTTTGAGAATATGGTATACACACTTAGAAAAAAAATTATAAGATTAGATACAATCATAGCAAAAATTGGTCCTGCAGAAAATACTAGCAAAGATTCTTTATTACGGAACCAGCAACGTCTTTCAAACTGTGGTTTGTACAACTCATCAATGCCATTTACATTATCAGCTATTACAGCCGCAGAGGTAAACACCAGTGAAATTCCCCATGAAAATATGCAGTAGAATCCGTATTTCTTTAATGTGAACTGCATATTGGAGACTCTTAAATTTCCAGTCGCTTGTAGAAGAGTTCTATAGACATCAAAAGCTATCACTGACATCCAGAGAAAGGAAGCCATAAAGAAGTACTGGATCAAAACTGCAGTTGCTATGCACATATTACGATTTTTGATAAGATTTTCGTCGTCGGTGAATATTGAAAACAAATAGCACATAAAAAGAGAAAAACAAAGAGATGCCAAATTATAACCCGGTAAGTTCCGTAAAGCAGGTACTAGGACGAAGACTAGTAGATGTAATACCAAGCATACTATGGATATGCCCAATCCAATCTGGGACAGGTATTTTAAATTATATTCATATTCGTATTCCTTTTCCTGTTCTTTTTCGTTTTCATAATCTGCATTTGGATAAGGATCTTCAGGTACGCAAACAGTTACCTTATTGTCTTTTAAGATATAGAAGGATTTGTTATAAGTTTTGTTGTACGATTCTACATAGATTGTTCCGTTAGGGTACAGAACATATTCGCCTGGACCCAATTCAAATGATAGACAGATATGCAAAGAGGGGTGTATGTCCTGAAATAATTCATTGTTTTCTTCAAGGGTTTCGTTTACAGCATACGATAATGCTGCAAGGAACATTGTACGCAGCGTTAGGAAGAAAATGGTATTCATTTTGTCCATTTGCCGTCTTCCGATGTTTGTGTTCGACTGATTGTAAAAAACCAAAATCTGTTTCTACTTCTACAGCATGAATACCAGTGCTGACGACTCGGTATTTTTCCTGAAAGAAAAAGAAATATATACTTATTAATTCCGGAGGTTTCTTACTTACAAATCTTTAAAAAAAAGGTTGCAATAAATTTTGGTAAAATTTATCAATAAAGAATGAAGGCTTTGAGGCACTTTATAAAAATCTTAATTTTATGTATAAAATTATGTATAGAAAAAGAGTTAGATGATTCGTTAACACAAAATGCTAAATATGAAGTAGATATGAAACATCTGAATTCTATTACCCGAAGGATCTCGAGAAAAATTTCAAGATTCGAAAACTCAAATCTTCGTCTTTTTTTAGCCGTTCCAATCGATCCAATCCTGATCTAAAAATCTTTTGTACATTTTAACTTTGAAAAACTTTGGAAAGATTAATTTTAAAGATGTACAACACAAGTTTTTCTAAAAAAAAAAAAAAAAAAAAAAAAAAAAAAGCAGCACGAATGCTGCAACTACTGATGATCTCGATTGCAAACTTCAGTGCTGTCTGTTAATCACATGAACACCTACCGAGAGAATCTATACAACAATCTGTTGCAGTAAAAATGAGCTCTAATCTATTTTTCATAGGAGTGTCTTTCAAAAATGCATTTAAGTTTTTTTATCTTAATTCACTTAAGAACACAATGGCGACAAATACTTTTTGAATTTGGGTAAGTAAAATGCTCATTAAAACATCATTTTTTCGCGGTTATTTCTCCCACGTATAAAGTAACAATAAAACATTTTACCTCATTCAGCCATACTTGGAAGGTAGGCAGTTAGATATAACTGTCGCCAGTTAGATATACTGGAGACAACAGTTCTTGTGTTAGATAGACAATAGTCTCCTGGTAACCTTGAGGACCTCTTAGAATAGTGTTAGGTGTGTAATTCTGTAAACTTTTAAATAATTGCCCTCTTCTACGTTTAAAAAAATCCTGGAAAAAGTTTCAAATTTAAACAGGTTTTCGAGTCAGTAAGTTTTTCCAAGAGGGAAATATGAAAAATTGTGAAATACCCTTGCCAGGATTCGAGCTCCGGATCTCCCGACTGCTAACCGGATGTACTTCCAATTACACCACGAAGCATGTGGTAAGAAGGGACAGAATACCTTACATTCTCACCCACTTAGGAACATTGGGAACCGGCAGGAACACCACATTGGGAAGGCAGAGACTCTATTGCCAAAACTTTGTGTCGACGAATTATCATCCATCATCTTTTTGCTCGGGCGCCACTGTAAAGTCATTAGATTTTTTGAATCAGGAAATAGAAAAAATGTGCAATGTCCTATTAGGTCTCATACCACTTCGATATTCAGATAATTACTCATTTTACATCTCAAGTTATTGGTGAATACAGTTACCAAGCTGTAGTTTTTACCGTATCAGATGATTAAAAATGAACCGTGTGAATTAAAAATTACTGTGTGAATAAAGATTTGGTAACCAGAAAGTGATTAGATAGTTTTCCGTCCTCCTTAGCAAGATTCGTAAGTTCTATGCGGCTATTACCGTAACTGCTATGTAGTTATTACCGTATCGTTATTGTCCTAAGCGCGATGCTGTTGTTACAGTATCAGACTAATAGGCTGTAAATGCATAGTCCTAAATCCATCAGAGGTATGCAGTTACTACCGAAACAGATTTACTGCATTTCATAATTATCGTAAGTGTGATGCGGTTCATACTGAATCACGTTATTACAGAGAGTACTATGCGGTTATTAATGTATCAAGTTGTACAGTCTAGTCTTCTTTGCTAGCATAAACTGCTACTGGAAGTTTGTGTAGTGACTTATCTCTCAAACTAGTAGCTGAATACAAGACGGATAGGGTATAAAAGACCCTTTTATTGAACTCAAGTGTTTACAGATGGCACTGACGTACGTACTGAAAATTTCACGAGTCACTTGTAGTGAGGAACTTAAAGGTAATGGTAAAAACTAAGTTAAAAGGTAACCTAGTAGCTCAAGATTACCCAAATTAATTTAAACTAGGAGATTAACTCAGAAACCAACACCCACATGATATTAACGTCGGCGGCAAAACCGCGAAGCTGAGATTCAAAATTCGCACATTTTCTAAAAGTAAAAAAGTTCGCATTCAATAGCGAAAACAATAACCTTTTCGCTACTTCAATTTAAATACACTCTCGTTCACCGTAACTTAATTACGTCCTGGCGAGGAAAATCAGAAATGGCAGAAAAGGCTTACAAGTTAAAATAACTATTAGTAAAAATGATATACCTCACAAAGTTGCTGAATAAAGATTTTGGAACCAAAAAGTAATGAAACAGTTATTTCTTTTCGTACATAAATTCGTCAAGTGCTATGCAGTTATTACCATATCAGTTGCTGAATAAAGATATTTTGAAGCCAAAATCTGATGAGCCGCCCAGCAGGGTAGTGGCTAGTACCGTACGAAGTACCCGGGTTCGAATTCCGGAGAAGGCATGAATTTGTAAAAGTATACTCTCTGTGAGGTATGGAGGGCACTCTAAATATGCGGCGAGCCAAAAGTCCTCTAGAGAGGTTGATGGTAGTGGAATAGTTAAGTGATGGGAGACCCTCGGATCCACTCTCCATGGTACTCTTCATCAAAATTGGGGTGCGGAACTGAACTGTCACCTATATGATGTTCATGGCTTTTGCCACCGACAGACGCAATCTTGCACTCTCCTTGCCACGATGGGTTTCGTAGGCTTGTGATGATGTTACTGTCAAACAAATGAGATAAGTCACAATAACAAAATGTGATGAGGTAGCTTTCTCCTTGCCGTACCAAGATTCGTAAGTGATGCAGCTATTGCTTCCCCTCCTTTTTATATTTTTAAAATTTAATTTTATTTATTATGCATTTTAAATTTGATCATTTGTTTAAGAAAAGAATTTCCAACAAAATATATTCTCTCTGGGAGAAATACCCTTGAATTACACGGAGTGTTTCCGTAAGTGAACTCCAGTCTGAATCTGAATTTTAATAAATTTTAAACCTCAGTAAGCGGGGTAAATCTCTGGCATAAAAAAAAGAACTGAGTGCTAATAGGAATTGAAAGTTTGTTCAATTTCTATATTAGTTTCTTCAGTTACCGATATTTCGGTAAAACTACCAATTAATAACCGCTTTATAGGTAATTTACATATACTTTGTCCTTAAAATTTTGAGTAACAAACACAACGATTTTAAAGCGAGCAATGGCAACGTTGTACAGAAAAAAACATTTTTATCCCCAGAACGTAAGACTGTGTATCGGAAATTCTAAAGATATGCTTATTTTAAAATTATTTTGCGATACTGCTCTTGAAATGAGTTTTATGGTTTAAGTGCAAAGAACTTGATATTTAATAAATAAAGGTAACACACAAAATGTTAAAAAACTGCCCCTTTGGAAGTAATTTAAAATCTGAAAACTTTCAGATTTTTTTTTATTTTTATTTATTTAGTTATTTATTATATTATTTATTTATATTTATTTTATCGGTTGTAACTTTAATACTGCAGTAGGAAAACATGTAAGTAATATGTAGACATATCTTAAAATATGTATAAACATGCTTATAAATTTTATTTCAGATTTAAAATTTCTGACAGTTTCTTTTAAACACATCGGATTCAGAATTTAAATAACATATTCGGACCATATATTCGACCATACCTTATAGAGATTCAGCTAAATAATAGTTATTTACCGGTGAAAATTTCTAATTTTCGTGATTTAATCGAAAGATCGGTAAAACAAATTACCGGTATATGCCTATTATAGTGAAATATTTGTTACACCAGAAAATGCCCCGAAATTTCAAAATCACACACAAAACTATTAATGATCATGTATTTGCTTTGGATAAACAAATTGTATTTTAATTATATTAAAACTGCAATGAAATTTAGAAAATAAGTGACAGAACAAAATCATCAAAGAAGATTTATGATGTATGATTTATGATGTATCAGTAAAGAATTATATTCAATAAAGAATCACTAAGAAAGATCAGTGAAATCAGTTAAGAATTATACATAGAAGTGAAAAATGGTATGTAATATGTAAATAATAATAAATAAAATGTGCATAAAAATAAATGAGAAAATAAAACATTTAAATAGAGGAGTAAATAAGCTGATAGCATCCCTGAAAGAATTCTTAAAGGATAAAGATACCCGATAAAATACTAAATATTGATAACAAAACCCATACAAGCCTAGAAATACCTTTGAGCAGTACAGACGCAAATGTAATAGAAAGTTAATGACGTGTCAAATCTAAATTCCGCGTAAATTCAAGGAATAGAACTGTAAAATAATATCGAAAATTTAAGAGAAATTAATTCCGAGTTTAATCAATAGAAATTAATCCGAAATTAAATCAAAATAAAAATTTCGTAGAAGTTGATAGAAAATAGTTCCAAAAGGATGCCGAAAAGATAATAAAATTATTTTCAGTTATCAAAATTCCGTATGCATTCATAGACTACAGTGATAACAAAATAACAGGGACTTTCCCCTTTACGGTCTTGTTCAACGTCACAAACAAGCTACCGCTTCACGAACGGTAGGTTACGAAACTACATCCTTCCCTGAAGGTTGTATGCAGGTGTGTTATGTAAGCAATTCATTGCATCACACGTTTATTCTTTTTATTTGAGTTATTTTTACACTTGTCTGGCTGTCCGGGAAAAGAACTTTTGATGATTACGAGCATCATCAGATCTAAATTTTTCTCTCTCTTCCTGCCTTTTTGATGCCCTCCTTCAAAAAAGATTTTCCGCTGGCATTAGTCATTAAAAATTAGGAAATATGTTGTTAATATTTAATACAGCTGTTAAAAATAATAAATAAAAAATTGCGGTAATGCATGAAATCACGAGTAATCGGAAGTCAGCTAAAAATACAAGAGATGAATAACCATATCGAAATTTACAGAAAAACACTAGTAATAATTTACTTTATTTTCAAGCAGGTCAAGCTGCAGATTAAGTACATTTGGTTAAGTAAATTAAATCAGTATTCAAAAATACAGAACTTA